GCCCCTCCCTCAAGACCTCCAACTCTTTTTGGAGCAGGGCATTTTTGTCCTGCTCCTCCTTTAGACGAGTCCGTAGAATGCGGACCTCGTCGCTCTCCCCTCGCTCAAGGAGCACCTCCTTGGCACCGCGCAGCAACTGCGCCGAGGACTTCAGCGCCCGAATGCAGCCTCCCTTGAGATTCCCGGATTTCCGGGCAACCTCAAGAATGGCTTCGAGCGCCTTATCCATTTCCACCTCGAGGGATGAGGCCGGCAGAGACCTGAGGGAAGGTAACGCTACCTCGACCCTCTTCGCCCGCCTCACCGCCTCCTCCTCGGTCTCAAGTAGGAGCGCCTCCCGCTTCTGGCGGTTTAATGCCTCCTTGGCCGCGGCCAAACCGACGTACATCCCCGTTGTGGGGGGCCGTCCTCTACCTCGCTTGGCCGAGGTAGTGGTCGCTGCCTTCGGGCTACGTCCCGACGAGCTGCCGTCCGAAGACGGCTTGAGGGGGCGCTTTCGGACCGAGATCGGAATTTCGTACTCAGAGCACGTCTCCATCGACCGGTCCGTATCGGAGCCACCCTGGCTCGCCGAGCGAGCGCTCTGCGCCACGCTCCGCTGGCTAGTCTCGCTACGCGAGACGGAGGACTGACGCTCACTGGACCGCGTTGTCCTCGACGTACTCGCACGTTCGAGACTAACCAGCAACTTCCCATTATCGTTGAGCAAATCGGATCCGTTGTTCTTGCTATGGTCGTTGGTGCCCACTGCACCTCTACGAGGGTTCCTTGAGGAGGAACCCTCCTGGCGTTGGTTGCCCCCCCCAGAATACGTGGGGCTGACTGCCGTTTCGACAGTGAGGGATTCCCCAGCCTCTTTGAGACTGGGACCCTCCTGGGGTAGTCCTACGTTGTTTTTACCTGACGCCATTTTAATGTGACCCTGTGAGGCAGGGCCGCCCTAGTGTCCTCGGGACGAGCTACCCGCTCGCCATTCATCCCATGGCCGGACACCACCAGCTGGGGATTGGGGGCCGTATAAGCCCATCCATCCGCACACATACATCACGCACAAGGAATATATATAAGAAAGACAGAGAAGAAAGACGTGGAAGGACAGAATATATACAATATAAAACAAAAGAGAAGAGTAAACTACATAAAGACAGAAAAGACAGAGAAAGACCTGTGTTCAGCCGTCTGAGCACCTCACCCCGTGTAAAGGGCGGGGTGGCGCACCCAGACGTTGCCCAGGGGCACCAACGAGGAGGTACCGGTACCGCCCCCTTTATGACACAGCCTACAAAAATATATACAACCCTAAATTTTCACCCCTCTGAGATCAACCCTTATTTTTTATTTGTTACTTAAAAACTTTAATTTTTTCTCAATTTTTTTTTTATTTTTTGATGAGCGGTACGAAGTTCGCCGGGTCAGCTAGTATATATATATATATGTGAGTATTACTTTTTCCAAGTGACGTAGGTTAAAGAGATAGTGATATATTTTTTTCCTTCTTTAAAATGAGTACCAATGTATAATACATTGTAGACGTCGAGAAATCTGTACATCTCATTGATTTAATGGGTCTAATTAAAAAAATAGGTAGGTATACGAAATAATACAACATGTTAAGGTAATTTAACAAATCGATAATTTAATTAGAAATTAACACTTTAATACCAACTATTATATTCTTAATGAAAATATATATTATCTATGTACTGTAGATATTAGGCTGAATATAAACGATTACATTTGCGCAGTAAATACACTATAGACTAAATTGAACTTACAACACGGGGTATATTAAAATACGTTCATTATTTATAATCATTATTATTTTTTTTTATTAAATAATTTCTTAGAAGAAAAAACGTGCTGTCAAAAACACGCTACTTAAACTAATGATAGAGAGACAGAGAAATTTTGAAAACTCTTAACGCTAACGCATGTACCGAGGGTCGCTTTGAAAATGCACCTTATATTAATATAATAAGGTTGAAAATGTAATAGCAACCCTCTGTCACGTGTATGCAAGCCAATGCCTTTAACAATCCTATATACTTTACTCTAAGGCCGGTACAATCAGCTGTTAGCGGTTTCTTTAAAGTTAAAACCAATCAATACAATCTAATTTCATCCCCACTAACAAACACGACTGACAGCCATAGAACAATAATATACTTTAAGTAATATTTTTCTTTAATAATTTCAACTATCAAATATAACTATTGCGTATGAATTTAATCACATTATTGTTTATTCAATACGTAACACGAATATGAATCGAAATATCACCTTAAATAAATTATAATAATAAATATTTAAAAATAAAGAAAAAATAAAAAAAAATACACGGCACAGATTATATAGGAATATATCAAAAAATATAATTTATAGGCACCACAATCTTAAACCTAAACGTGAAAGCATAAGTAATAATTCAAATCTCGTGTGTTTTAAATTTTAAAACGTTACTATAATATCACTATATTTCGTTACAATTCTAAGTCTAATTTATTTGTAACCTTACTATTAGTTTGCGTAACAAACTCCACACTCCAAGTTAATAGTATTAACGAATTAATAACTTAACTGAGTATATAGTTTGAATACTCAAACTATTTGTAAAGTTACTGTTAAATGCGGCTCAAGAAAATATCAGCATTAATGCCGAAGATCTATATATATTTTCTATAGAATATGTGTACTATACTTTGAGCTAGATTGGTACATAATTTATTGTAAACGTTTCAATATACCATTAACGGGAATTTCGGTTATAATTATAGATTAGCGAAAAAATAAATTTGGCACATAGTTGAAAATTAAAAGGTAGTGCTTTAAACTCATACGTGCCCTCTCTGATAGATTGTTAGAGGATTCTGACGTAGAAGCTGAGATAGAATTCATTAAATAAAAAGCGTTGATACTCCATTACATAAATATTCATTGACGTTACATTATTGCATCCGAAAATATCTTCTCTAAACCACCATAACTAACTTTATTACTATCCATACAAATAAAACACAAAATTATCTTGCCATTATAAAAAAATCGTCAAATAATTATATATATAATAGTAATAATCAATCGACATCACAAAAACGCGGTCTAAATCAATTGAATGACATCATCAAATGTTGCCATGTTTAAAAAAAATTCAAATTATAAAAATAATATAATTTTTTATATATGGCAATAAAATTTTGTGTTTACATCCCTCTGGCTTGTCCACGACGTTTAAGATTTGAGCAGCTTATTCGCTCGCTGGTTTGCCACCGCAATGCGTGTTTCATTACTCTCACCCTATAAACCACAGAATATATAAATACATATTAATATACAAACACAGATTAAAAATAAAACATTGTTGATTAAATTTTATTAAAAGGCTGTAAAAACCTTTGCTTTATTTTTATATACATAAGGTTCGTTCATTTTAATTTAGTACTTTATTATATAAAGCCTTTTAATTTTACACTTTATACAAAATCTAAGCATATTTTAAGCAGTATTTGCATGTGTGCTTTAGATTATATAAAAAATGTAGACATACACACCCAAGAAAAAGGAATAATTCAATATTTTTTTTAAATATTTTTTTTATCAAATATGTATGTCTACATTTGAACATATATAAGCCCGTAGCTCCAAAATTGTGCATAAAGTGCTCTTAAAAAATAAATACTCACTTTTGACGTCGGAAGGCTGTTCTGTATGTGTGTTTGTGTGTCTCGTGGTTTAGGTGGTATAGATGCAAAGAATTTGATACATTCTTGAAAGATTTTTATATGTATGTATAATGTATACAGGGCGTTCTAATATTTATATATATTATTTATTATCTACTTACTTGACTTTCACGAGGTTATTTGGTGCCTAATTGAAAAAACTACACAGAAAAAAAAATATACGCAGTATTCATTTATTACTTAAAGTATCGATGATTCTTTCACATTTACAAAAATAAATTATTAAATAAAATAAAAAAAATATATAAAGCGAAACATAAGAGAATATTGATAAAAAAATCCAAGTCATATTTAAGTTAAATTAATTGAGTGTAAAATGTTCATAGAAGCAGATATGTTTTAGGGATATGCTTATATTTTATTTTGATCTTTGTGGCATTTAAAATAAATAAAAAGATAATTACTTAGACATCAAAACTATATTTATTATTAAAAAAATCAAGGAAGTCCTTTGGTTTTGCTCATGAAATTATTTTTTATTAAAAATCTCATTTTAAATTAACATGCCTGAATTCTTTTAAAGTACTTTTATAGCCAACCCACAAATATTGGCATTACGTGATAGTGTTTTATAATAAAAAATAATAATTAAAAAACCATAAATGCTCCTATGAAACATTTAAAATGATACAAACACATACCTAACATTATCATAGCTATTATCACATTTCACTCATCCTCTAACCTTAATTTAACTTATTTTTTTATATAAGACAAGAATAAAACGCGAATATTACATAATACAGGTTACTATTGACACATGCTTATATATTTTTTTCGTTCTAATATTACATATATTTTTTTTTTAGTAACAACAGGTAAATGCATCTTCACAAAAATAAACAAAAAATCTCATTAGTCAACCTTCTATTAAACTACTGGATATATGATTTTTTTTTCGTCATACTTGGTCTGAAACGAGCACCGGACCCATTGAAATGTTTAACGTTGAGCGTTTACACAATAGGATAGGTAATTTTTTTTATTATAAACTTTTTAGTTATAGGGAGTAACGCTAATCGAATACTGTTAAGATGGCCGGTTGCTAACATACAAAAAAAAACTTACAAGTTATAACTGGCCAATAAAGATCATAAAAAAGTAAAATCCTAGTTACAAATAAATAAAAAAAGGTTTTATATAAAAAAAATAAATCACATTCCATATTTGAATGTAGGTCAATGTGTTGTAATGCAACCGGCCGAACCACGAGACTAGTGTGTCTGTGTGGGTGTGTGTATGTGTGTGTGCTGCCGTCGTTTACTTGAGGAGCTCGTGTGCGCGCTGGTTGGCGAGCGTTATCCTCGTTTCGTTCGATTCGCCCTACGATACAGAATACAATTGTCTCGCATCGCAAAAAGCAATCCATTTGCAATTCAACGTCACTCGACCCCCGATGACCTTGAACTCAAATTCCAAATTCGAATTTAAATTGGAAATGGAATGCATATCGGTCTGTTATTCGGAATGTGATGTGATGTTAGTCACTGATGAGTCTAGATGATGTGTTCGGAGTCTGAGTCTGAGTCTGGTTATGTTTTAGAGACTGGTATATCACAACATCCAAAACTATCAACTACTATGTATGGTTAACATGCTTAGTGATAGAATACAAAAGTGAATTTTAGGTATCAGGAAAGCGTCACTGGAATTTAGAAGGCCAATAAAGCGATAGATTAGTCGCGGGAAGGTTCTAGAGAATCGTTTCACACATACACAGCTAAAGTGACTCTAAATCTAAAAGGTGACGGACGATGTTAGTATATGGAAATTGTTATAAATTTATTATTATTAAAAATTAATAAATTCATAGAAAAATATAATAATAAGAGAGTTTTTCAAAATTCTCAAGTATTTTCTTTTTTTGCAAAATTTTACTGACATCATATTTCCTTCATTTATCATAGAATTTTTAAATATCACAGATATATTTACTTATTAAAAACCCATTGTTATATCAGGCTGAATAAAGTCAAAACTCAAAAACATCCCATGGCACAATATTGCAAAATTCAACAAAGAAAACCCACTTATTACCCCCCTATAGAACAGTAAGCTATATAAATAGATCATATTTGGACCATTCACACAAGACCTCTCTCCACTAACCTTGCGGTTGATACGATCGATCTGCCTATTCTGGTTCTCCAGTTCCGAGCCCATGTCTATGGCCATGTTACGTAAATTACCGATCATGGTGTTCACTTGACCCATGTTCTCTTCCATTTCATCCTCACGAGCGTCGTTTGTTATCCTGGAATTATTCACATATAGATTTTAGTTATATTTCTGTGTGATGAGAAACTTAAAGTATTCACGTATTATATAAAACTATAATTTTAGAGTTATAGTTTTGATTCTATTTAGATCTTAGATCATCGTTATATGATTAGCAATTTTTTTTTTTTTTTTAACAGTGAAGTTACGTATAACATACGTAATAAGAGACTTGCATTGAAAGAAATAGCATAGGTCAATTTTAAAATGGTTGTTTTTATTTTATAAAAAATACATAATATAATTTCACACGAAAAGAATTTAAGTTTTTGATTTTAGAAGTTGAATAAAAAAAATGGTTTCTACCGATTATAAAAGGCATGCCAATTTAATCCTGTTATGGATAAAATACTTATAATTTATATATTTAATTTCAATATTATACAGGGTGACTGGTGAATTACTATCAATATTTAAGAGGAGCATACTCGGTACATGATTCTCATTCGAATTATGTAAAAAAAAATAGGTACTTAATTTTTGACCAAATTTCCTTATAAATAAATAAAGTGTGTACACGTTCCAAGTGTTCCAAGTGTGGACGCGTGCGGCGGCGTGCTGATACAACAACACGCCGCCGCGCGCGAGTGTGTGTGTGTGTGTATACCTAATCTGTAGGGTGTTCATACGATGCGTAATTAATTACATAACTTTTGGTTAACTTTACTTAGAAGTTTATTAATATTTATGTTATATTATTTTTTATTTTGTCATATATGATCGTCAACTACCACGTCCTTAAATATCGATAGTAATTCACCAGTCACCCTGTATAAAACTATAATTTTAGAGTTATAGTTTTGATTCTATTTAGATCTTATATCATCGTTATATGATTAGCAATTTTTTTATTTCTTAACAGTGAAGTTTCATATAAATTGCTTAATAATAGACTTGCATTGAAAGAAATAGCATAAGTCAATTTTAAAATGGTTGTTTTATTTTATATAAAATACATATTGGAGTTCAAACGAAAAGAATTTGAAGTTTTGAAAAAAATATTTTTGGTGTATCAATTATAAAAGGCATGCCATCTTAATCATGTTATGTACTTATAATCTATATATTTAATTTTTCGTTGAGCTATCGGACTTTAAGTATAGCTTGAATGAAAGTAGGTTACTGTCTCTTTATTAAACGAAATCGATTGTTCGATTAATCGACGATTTGCTTCAGACGCTTTGTTTAATATATTAAAAAAAGGCCTGGCATAATTACATATTTTTTATGTTTTCTTTTAGCTATTGTCTTTGTTCTGAGTTTTTGTGAAGGCATATTATAGTACAATCAATGAAATTATTCGCGAACCTAGTCACTAATTATGAATAGTCATTTTATCCTTCATCTAATTAAAATGAAAAAAAAAATTATCAACAAAGACATATCTATTTTTAAAAGAAACCGCTTGAAGATAAATCTGATAGACATTATGAGATATTTCTGAACCAATATTTAGTTTTATATAATAAAACTATAATTTAGAGACAAAAGACTTCACTCGTTATATATAATCACAAAGACATCGCTGACCGTAACAAAATTGGTATATCACGATGAAAGGTGAAAGGTTTACATAAAGGTCATAGGTTAACATCTAGGTAAATAGCAAACAGTCTGTTATTCGATGTGAAGGTCAAAGGTGAGTCGTCTGCCTTTAATTATATAAGGCTAGTTATTTTAATACAATTCCTATTAGTGATCTTAGGACTTTAATTATACTGTTTAAGACAACGAAATACGGTTATATCATGTTATATTATACAATATACATATATATCTTGTTTAATATTGTCTTTTTAATGCGATGAAGGAAAAAAAAGGTACTACATATTAATATTTACTAGACCTAGCAAATGTCAATTTCGTCGTTCTTAGACTAATTCCAGAGTCTATAGAGGTCTTGCTAAAGAAACGGTATTGAATAATTAGTAAGATACTAAGTATAATAATATTAATGAGGTCTAAGACTTTCGCGAGTGTTCATATTAATAAAGGAAGTATTTCTCGGCTTTACTACGAGTTTTTACTTATTTTAACTACATACTCCTGACGTATCAGTTACTTTGCAAGAACAGTGATCACGGGCAGACGACATGTGAATGTCTGTCAGTCAATCCGAGAAGTATTAGTTTCATTTCAATATTATAATTTGGGATCAATAAAACATTTCTATGGTCGTATTTTTCCCTCCTTCACACAAAATACCGTCAGTTAAAAGTAATTTTACAAGGGTAATATTAAATACAGCATTTTCATACCTTATTCTAATGGAGGGTAGATTTATATAATATTTACCTGCCAATATACCCAGCTTGTGGTCCGATGCCGTTCCGTTCGTCCATAACGCGCTGTGGTTGATTGTTCACCACTTTTCCATCATCATTTCCCTTCCATGTACCATCATCTTCCTTGAATGACGCCCCCCTGATTTGGGTATAACGCGTAAATTCATTTTTATTACCATTTTTACACCAATTTATAAATATTTATTGAAATTCCTGTTTTTTTTCTTCATTATTTTATATAAGAACGCATTGAGCATTGGATGGTTCTTTATATTTTTTTTATTCCGCATTAATTAAACAATAATTATGAGCACTTTTCTTATTATTGCTACAATATATGGTAAAGAGTCCTCAAATAAAAGGAAAATCATCAATACCATTTAAAAATGCCTAAGTAGCTCGTTTTTGACTTTATTTAATAACGACTGAAACTATTCAGGACTGTACTAACACGACTTATTAATCCATTCATGTTTCATGACGCTAACTTGTCTAGTTAGATGAAGTAGCTTTATTAGGGTCAACTATAAATAGGTCTAACGTACTTGTTGCAAGGTAGAACGCATATGCCACAGCATTTCTCCATCCCTGAGAGATTCTTCTCAGCCTCACGCATATCAGCGTTAATTTGATCCATACCTTCCTCGATTCTGTCCAGTTGTTCTGTACACACATTAAACAGCTTTAAAAATGCCCTCCCATCTAACCATTGGAATGTGTGAAGCTTCTAATTGTCTGATAAAACGCGATATCATTTAATTTCTCATGTAAATTCTCAACGCTCTCGACAAAAATTTCGATTTCAAGTGTAAGACAATTGATTTGAATTGGTTATAACCAATATTTGCTACCCATGCATTTCGTTCTATGACAGCAATTCTACTTCATTAAGCGACTAAACTCGTTTGACTTGTTGGAAATTAGTTTATTTGATGTCTTACACTTGATCCGAACAATTGAAACTATTAAACTAAAATTACCTCTGATTTTAATGATGTATGTGCTACTAAGTGATAGAAAAATTACAAAATATTTTATAACTAACATTTAGACAATATAAAATACTAGTCATGCATTCAATAGCAACTTCAAAGAATCCGTGCACAGCTAGATGCGTGACTAAATAAACAAAACATTTTACAGATGATAGAAAGATTAAGAAACATCATCTCCATTCGCGGATCCGCGGTCTCTATGAACGGATTGGAAGTTAGGCTAAACAACTATTTATATTTATGATGGTGACATATTTTTTACCTTAATGTGTTAATCCCTTATTATTTATCTGTTAGCACGTTACAATTTGTATGGACATTAGAATGTTATATCACAACGCCATTCATTGAATTCTCATAAACATTTTGAATTGGCATTTCAGACAAAAGCCTCGCTATGTGATGATGTAATAATTTTGCTACTAGATGCTTACCGCCCTGTTCATCCAGCATGACCAGGGTTTTCATGCCCACCTCGTGACTCTACAACACAATAATGATGTCACTATAGCTCGCCAAAGGAGTGCCAAACTCGTGAGGCGGCAGGGGCGGCGCGCTAGCTCGCTGGCCTGCACATCGCGCCTTCCGTCTCAACAACTCAATACAACTCAAACTGACAACTAAACAAAAATAAAAATAATACATGAACATGGTCACGGTGAGCCGCGCTAAGGCAGGCGGCCACTCCTCCGCGATGGTAATGATGTCAACTAGCACATGAGCACATTGTCTCATACAAGCGTTTACTAATGACAAGTGAGGAGCGTACGCGCGGAGGCTGTGCCGCCAGCCTCGCACTGACACAGATCGCATCGAGCTAACAGTTACAGAGCTACGGCTCTAACATTAACAATACGCTGCTAGCCATGGAGATGAAGGCGTTTAAACAGACACGGTAAACGCGCATCATATCAGTACCGCAGTTTAGAGAAGAGGAGTAGATTTTAGGAAAGATAAATAAATATACCTATAAAAAGCGTTCCGATAGATAATATCAACGGAAGAAAAAAACAGATTGCGCAGCTCATACAAATTAAATCTTCAGCAAAAGATAGAGTACAGTCTTTTGCGACAATTAGCAACGAACGGCCATCGGGCTTCTATTTACACTATACTGTCAAAGTCAACCCCATCGAAACAGAAACATACGCAACATCGATCTGAGATAAGTCGTTATTCAAGAGAAACGTCAAAGAAAAACAAAGAGATTAATTTATTAACTGCACATTCAACACAGACGTTCTCACGGCTCGACTACCCAGTGTTCAGTTTAACTCTTACCGCCCTGGTGACTCAACATATGAAGCGCTTGCCCCCCGGCGTCCTCGCTCTATACATAAAATACAAATCAAAATAATATATCGTAGGAGAGAGTATCGGGGTGTGTGGGGTTGCGTCGTGCCGTGACCGCACAACGCGCGCGGGTGCGGGCGAGTGCGGGCGGGTGCGGACGAGTGCGGGCGAGTGCGGGCGGCTGGCGTGGCGGCGGCGTGCGCGCAGCGGGTACACACTATTCCAACAACATGCATGCAGTGAAGCTTGCAAGTAAAACCAGATTCAGTTTTATCTGTGCTCAGTTTCATATGAATCATGATTATATTGTGTAATGTTTAAGAGTCGTGCGTTGAGGAGAAGCGTTTCGAATTTACTTCGCTCGTTTTTAAACAATTTAGTTTTATGTGATTTAGTAAGTTGTCGTTAAAGAGTCGGTTACGAACATCTGAAATGCAGAATGTATAGTTTCGTACAAATATCAACTTCTTTGGTTAATGTCGTTTGGTAATCCTAACCGGCATCGGTCGCTGATAAGTTGTGCAGATTGGTGTTGATTATCTACATAAAGTATTATTAATGATACAAAGATGTGGGTTTTCCGTGGTAATAACAGTGTGTGTCATAAAATGTTGACGATAGAAGTTAAAAGGATGCCCGCACCTTTGCATTGCAACTTTACATTTCTCATTCAATTCATTAGTTGCGATACCCCCTTAAATTCTTCGTGATCGCTGAGCCCATCGCCGGGCTGGCTGAAATCCCTACTACTTCTCAATAATATTAGAGAAAAAAGTAAAAAAGACAAAAAAATGTAATATATTTAGTGTTGCAATTGCAGTTCACTCACCTCCCTGGTCGTCTAGAGCGACCAGAGTACGTATGCCGGCCTCCTTGCTCTAAACCAGCCGCAGAAACAAAAAGTCAGAGAGCATGTTAGTTGTGAGGGGTACAGTGGAGTGTTTGGACAGTGGGTAGTGAATCAGGTATTGGACTGCGTCAGTTGAACAACTGGCGAACACGTGTTCTCGAAGTTCATAAACGTGTGAGAAGGACATCTTCACTTTGACCATAAATATGACAATATTTCCTTTATCAGTTTTTGGTACGTGAAAATGTCCTCCGATTAACTGTGTCACTATGGCGTCATGATAATCTGTACTGTGTTTATACTTGAATAGAATTTTGGCACATATCGTCAACAAATAATGCTTAACGTAAAACAAAATATTTTATGTATCCAAATAAATCAGCTGTATTTTTTTAAATTTTATTTATAAGAACCAAAAAGGGATAAAACGAATTAAAAATTTTGCATGTTTACAATCAATTGGTCTGTATTTGTTGTGAGATTTTGAAAGGTGTAGCTCGATATATTTGTTGGAGTTAAGTAGTAGGTATGGCTTGTGGTTACGCCCATATTGGCAGTATTGTGAATGTTGGAGAAGGCATGAAAATTATACAACTTAATAGTATACAGTCAACAACAGAGAACAGCCACTACACAGAGACCAACAACAAAGATTAAACTAAGGTATATAAGGTACACATCTCGGTTCACAGATGGGATGTTCACTATGAAGTAGGAAATTCATGTAGAAAAATCATATTTGAAGTAGAATGGTATATAAATAAAAAAAGAAAACACTTTTAAATTGGAAACAAGACAGTGGAACGTGCTTTGGAAGTAGTGATCATTGCCTGAGTGGCGAATTGTTAAAGAATATAGAAAGGTTTAGGAAATTATTATCCAAACGATATATTTCAAAGCAAGCCCAAGCACATACAAAGACTATGAGGAACGGGGAAAGAAGCATTTCTGGATCCTTTAACTTACTATAGGGTGAGAAGTATTCAGAACTAAAAGAAAGAATTGGTTTTCTTCTAGATTAATATGGGCTTTCATGCTGTGGTTTTAGTTATTTCGTAACAGGCTAATCTGGACTCGTGTGTTGGATGTTGACAGTTAATGAAATGGACTATAATAATGATAATTTAGTAAATTTCTCTCAAGGTCACATCCATTGTGACTCAATTAACTGTCAACGCCAAAATTTCATGGGTTCAGGACAGGGTACAAAATTATCACTGACATACAATTATACATTAATACATCGCTACAAAACAACACAAAGGACTATAGAGAACTAACAATGTCGTTAACAATTAGGCACGGATCATGCAACACCCAATGGTTAGTATAAATACATATTTTGCAGGGCACAAAAACAAATAATAGAACAAAAACTTAATAAACAAAATAAAAACATGACCGGGTATCTACAATAGATATACATACACATCAAATAGATACAAATAGCGACATCGATCACACAACAGCCAAGGATAGCGAAGGCTGCGCCCTAGGGGGTTTTTGGGGGGGAGCTTGGATACCAAACCGAGCTTGGGGCTAACTCCAGGACACTTTGCTATACCCCTCACTCCCTCGCATCGAGAACACCTCTCTCACAGATTACAAATAATCACAACTGAACACAACATAAATTTATCAAAACTATCGGGTAACATAAACATGGTTCAAATTATACATTCCAATTTACGGAACCGCGTTGGACTATTTGCCAATCGTATACATATATTTTTTTACTTTGTCCAGTGATTGAGCTAGAGATACCAATTAAACAGATACAATTAATATTAAAAAACCTGAAATACAATAGTTAGAAAATACTATTTTTAACGAAAAAAAATCAAATTAGTAGGGTCAGGACAGGAAATATTGGGACATTTCAAATATATTTATTTTTAACTTGAAGGTATTCTCGACATTTAAATATAATTTTATCATTATTAATATTCATGTCATTTAGCCACTGCTGTAATCATTATTTGTTAAGTCTTTTTCTTCTTCCAAACTCATTTATGTTACAGCAGTTGCTATAAAATTTTATATAACATATGAATACAGATATTAATCAACTTACCTCTTCGCATAGTTGCATCATACGCCGGGTCGACTCCAGGGACTGTAATTGAGATAATAATTATTATAATCAGTAATATAGACTACAAGACGTGAAAATATTTGAAGTAGGAAAATAATAGTCGATTTTTATGGGTTTTAACACATATGATGGTGTATGGTTTAGTATAACAAATTGTTACAATTTTTCGTCCTTAATATCTATCTCGCTACAATTTTATGTACCAAATATCCTTTTCTCCCATTTACAGTTTCATAATAACACCAAGAAAAATTTGACAAAAATACGTATTGAATGAATAATTCTCATAATTATAGAGTTAGTCAGTTATATTCTCAAAATCATAGTTTCATAGAAATAATATAAAATAACAGACGAATTAGGATCTTGCAAGCAAAGTTCTTTAAAGGTTAAATAGTGGCATTTAAAATGTACACATTTGCTTTTTATAATGTTATGAATATTTAAAAATTTTATCTCAACTTATGAATGACTACAAATCATACGCGTTTAGGTAATTTTGAACGTATTCGTGTATAATATGAAATATATGTCAAGTTTACAATGATGACAAACTGACCTCATAAGTCGAGAAAATTTAATCAGACTATTCTCAAAATAAATTTACTCATAAAAATATTTAAATATTCGGAGATACACAAAGCTCTTTATTAATTTTATGCTTAGAAATAGCGATTTAGACGCAAAATATTTTGTTGGACCGAACCTATGTGGCAATTGTGTTCTAAAATAACTTTAAAAAGCAGCCTTAACAGCAAAAATAGGTGTAGATTAGTCATTTGTTTTGTTGTTCAGTCTAACCATAGAAGATCCTCGTTAGGAAAAACCTGAAGCACTAATTTCGCTCGCCATTTACTCTTTTCTCTCTTAATATCTTGTTCGACATGCCATTGAAGTCGTTTAAGCATCTGTAACTCAGTTAAGTGTCCACAAGCACTATCAAATCTTGATTTGTCAGTTCGTTTCATTTCCTAGTTATTTTAGCAAATAAGGAACAATATTACTCTTCGTTACTTACTTCATCGGTGACTTGACCGGCTCGTAATTGCAATTGCTCAAGCTCGCTGCGCGGCGCGCCATTTTCTGCTGGGGGCGCTGCGGAAGGCATCCTGAAACAAACAGAATCCTATAACCAAAAAAACTCCTTTATGATAAACCAAAAAAACTCCTAAATTTAAAGTAGCCATGTATTTTACTTGGAAATTCCGGGATGACAAATGTCTCACTGTATTAGGTCCAGCAAAAATCACGCCAAATTTAAGACTAGAAGTATTTCTCAGACACTGATTAGGTACTGATAATTCCACAAAATAATGAATAGCAATCCTATATTAAGAGTTTTTAAGTTCTTAACAAGTCTAAGCCGGATAATATAAATGAAGTAATACTTTATTATAACACAAAGAATGAGTCATATCCTATAAAGACTATTCATTAGACGTTGCTTAAGAGTAAGAATGTGCCTACATCATTTTGTAGGCGTTTTAAGTTTTTTATATAAAAAAATAATAATTATGTATTGTTAGTTTACCATCGCGTGGTTTAACAACAAACCTGTCGTAGTGATAATCCTTCATATTGTTTACACGAGTTCTTTACAATCTTATAAAACTCATTTACAAATAATGTAGGTTGTACTTAAGATTTATAAATACATTAAATTCGTTTTTGACGTTTGCGTCCTTATCACTCCACTGAGCAACTATCGTTTATACTCTGTTATCATTGTGTATATGTTTCAAGGTCTTAGTAATTATACCTAATTCATAAGCATCTTTTCACATCATTCAGAGTGTCAATAAATAGAAGAAATATATTTATGTATAGATATATTTATTTTATATTTATTCATCAACAATATATTAAGTAAAATTAAATTTTATTGTATCTCCATTAGTGACAGTGTATTTTTTTTAATATTTTAGATGGCAACATTTTATACGAGTAATATTTTATATATAAATAAATATACATTAAATCGGCTTAATCAGATGCGCAATGGTTTCTTTGCGTCGCCCAACCCATGTGGCAGATCAACCAAAGTGTTTTACTGGTCGACATTATTTCCCGTCCTGCTTGCACATAGCTAACGTTCGATATAAATCGAGCTGCCAGTCGACTACACTTGGCGTTTAACAACCGCGCAAGGCTACCAACATGAAAATTGTAATTTAATCTGTATTCTGTTTTTAATTTTCTAGTTGTCAATGTCATAAATGTATCATAATATTTTGTTCTGTGTGAAGTGAAAATATGAGTAATTTTGATACTAGGAAACTTATAAACGAAATCAAGAAAAGGCCTTCCATCTGGGATACATCGTCGATTGAAAATACAAATAAGGAATTGAAGAAACAAGACTGGAATGAAATAGTTGCGATATTTGGTGGTGATGACATCTCAGCTAGTGATCGACATCTTTTACGTAAATAATATGAATATAATAAAATAGGATCGTGTCTGCGTTCTACACGACACTGGCAGAATATACTGTGCACATCATTGCCCTTGCAAAGATGCCCTTCATCCTTATGAAGGCCCTATTTTAAACAACCAACCTATAATAAAATGCTTATTATTCTGTATTAAATATGCCTTTAAACAACCAAACAAATACTTTTAAAGCTCTTAAATACTTATGATTAGTTATTTTTGTTTATATTGATTGTATGTACATATCTAGTTTTTAACTTATATATTATTACAGGATTAACTCTTCAAAAGAGATGGAAGAACATTAGGACTAGTTTTGCAAGAGAACTAAAAAGACAAAAGAACTATGGTTCAGGTGCGAACCGTAAAAGTGAATATGTGTATTACAAACAGTTAAGATTCCTCTCCAATGTTATGAACATCGCCGAAAAGGAAGTTGACGAAGAACCAGAATATGTATACTATGATGTTGACGTAGAATTCAATCAAACGACCGATGGAAGCAAATATGAAAAAAGAATTGAGAACAAATTCAAACGTAAAATGATTGACGATGAAGACACTATAGATAATAACGAGGATAACGAAGACCGTCTCTTCCTATTATCACTACATGAAACATTACGAAGAATCCCAAAGAGTAAAAAAACTGCCGTTAAAATTAAATTACTATCCGTTATAAATGAGGCTATGATTGATGAGGTCTCTGACTTAAGTTGAAACGAGACAGTATTGGCTAGTCGATCAATAAAATATGGTTTTAGGAACCAATGAGCATTTTTATTAAATGAAGTGTGAATTCATTAAATAATAACTTTAAATATCACCAAAATTTATTGTTATTTCATAAAATATAAATTTAATTAGGATATTATTGTATATATAAAAATATTGTTGATTATAAAATTTAAAATGTGTATCATGTAATAAAGATTTATCTTTTAAGTGCATCATAGAATGACACATAGGCAAATGAAACAGAAGATTCTTATTAGTCATAAGATAATACTTCAAAGCCTTTCATTAAATATTGGATATGGTATATTGTTGATATAAATATAATAATTAAGTGTATAATATGTGAGTCTAATTGTCATCTGTAAGAACTAAAGAATAAAGTTATGAGTACAATTTCTAGTGTCTAATATTGTGTATAAAAAATTTCTGAACGACCTTGAACGCTGAAGAGGGTGTTGATTGCGTCATACTACCCTCGTAAAACGTAAACATACGATAATCTATTTAAAAATCGTAACCCAAATATAAGTTAATTTAACTTCCAGCCTGTTTTAATAACGAGCGAGATTTGGAGTAATTACGCCGTTAAGATGTAGCTTGGCAGCTCTTCAGCTGTACTTGACCAAGATTAACGAGTTCATTGCGGCTGGGATATGAATTGCATAATAAAAAAATCGTTACGTTTTTGTTATATAGAGAAAAAAAATATATCAGAAAAAAGTTTCATAACATATCTACAAACCCAGTTATTTCCTTGAAAACGAAAGTGCTTTAAATTTAATATACGAATTCTGTGTTTTTAAAATATATATTATAATTTCGGTTGTATCGGTTGTACGTGTAACTACTAGCAGGCATGCAATGGCGTGTGCTAGTTAGCGAACTAGCGTCGCAGCGACCTTCGAATTTTAATTCATGTTTACCGTCCGGAAAACTGATACAAGGGTTAAATTTATAAACTAACAATTTATTTACCGAGCTTTAAAAAACTATACAATATCGAACGAAACTTACAAGTTATTTTAACTATATTTTGTAGTTATACGTATATATAAGATTAGCTATAACAGTTATTATTTAAAATCATTAATATTGGATACATTTTTATTTAATATTTCACAATGAAATAAAATATGACTTATTTTTTTTTTTCATAGAGACGGATGTAAAAATAAGTTCAAAGCCGTTATGACGTGCATAAATTTAAAAAAAACTTTTGATCTATCTTTATATATCAGAATATGGACATGATCTTTAGTCTCGGAGATAGAGCAGTGGTGTAGGGGTAAAATCAATAGACGCGCGCACGTTTTCATCCCACGCAACGTAATATACTACAATACGTTTAGTTAAAACTCGTTATGCGGAAACTTATCTGAACAACTAACTATAACTAATGATGCTCTTAAGACGTAATTTTTCCCTAGTTTAACGGAATTAACGGTTTTTTTTACGGAATTTTATGAATCTTCTCAGCTTAGTGATCTCAATTTACGTACTTCACTAGGTCAGGCTCACACATGTATGATCTGGAGCATGAGCCACTTCACTTCCACTACTTTCAAAACCTAGATTAACACATTCATTAGAAAATGTATTTAATTAAAAATAATTTCTATGAATTTATTTTTGCATTTTTATTTTAAATATATTTTAACCAACCTTAAAAGAGATGGTTGTCAATTCTACAGAATCTTTTTTTATATTGCAAAATAATATTATTGAAGTTTAATGTTTTTTCTTCATAAATGATTTTGGACTTGAAATAATATATAATTTAAATAAATTATGTAGATTGCAGGGAAAGCATTTTAAAAACATATAATATGTTTATTTTTGTTGCATTTTCTTAGTATTGGCAAATTATTCAAAATATTGCAATTAAGACTCTCGGATTACATTAAATATATAGACAAAATATGTTTGCATACTAAAGGGTAAACATTTTTTTGCATCAAAGACTACTTTAAAAATGCAATATTTCCTGTTTTATTTTGCTTCAAGTTTGTTGAAATGTATACTCTGATAAATGAAATAGTGCTTCATACAATAAATATATGACAATATACAATCGAATAGAACCTCTTCTTTTTTGAGATCAATTAAAACTATTTTGTATATTAAACACTCGGTTTAAGTTATGGTCATTTAGTCAAAGTCAAAATCAAAATCAAACGTATTCAAAAGGAATTGGGTAGTACTGGTTAAAAATATTATTGATTACACAGTTTCAAAAGTATTTATAATGACAATTGTTGCTTTTCAATAACTGATATGAGTTTGTCTTTATACACAGATATGTTTTTCTATAATAATGATTAACAATCAATATAATTCCTTACGAGACACATTAGAATATTTATCTTTTTCTTAAAGAATTAAAAATTGTAATAGTTTTCTTTTTAACTATTTGACCATTATTGATCTACATTGAAATTCTTCGAGTAAAACATAGTGTAAATTAATATGTGTAATGTATGAAAACTATCATATCTATTTTAGGCTCACATTATCTGGGTATTAATCAATTAATATATTTCTTATTGGCTTCATTCACATTGGAATTGTGGAACAATTAATATTTATCGGTTGGTATAGTAAGTCCATGGTATATTTCATTTCCAGGAGAATGTTGACACAAGCATGAGATAAATCTTGATAGGAATTATCTTGCTTCCAAGTTGTAATATGTTGAGAAGTCAAATGCCAATTGTTGAGTATGGTTAATTTAGATATCAAACAATATTCATTTTTTTTGCCTATTAAGGCAGTTGAAGTTAATTTAGATTATGAGTTGCACAATTTAAAATGCTTGAATCTGTTTTAAACATTGCCAGAAAATCAAGTAAGGGTTGCATATATTTTCTTGGTATAACCGGATATCTAATTAAGTCACTTAACACCAAAAAACGGGGAGCTTGGGCTCTGACGTCAGTATTTAAATCAGTTTTTGACATCACTATCGATAGGAAGATATGGTATTTTTACTTAATTTGAATTACATAACTGTCTCTTAAATTAATTTCCGATTTCCAACTAGATTAAATTAATTAATTTCCTAAAAATAAATAAAAAACTTACCTGGAAGTTTAAGTGTAAGTTTGAAAAAACTTTATTTGGAGAAAATGTGTGGAAATCACTTGGCACACACACTGAGAACCAAAATACAGCACAACGATGGAATGAAAGGCTTTCTTTTCTTTACGAGAAACCTTCGGTCGATCGACTCGATGAGGTTAGCCAACGAAATGCGCAATGTTTTGACTATGCGCATTGAAAGTTGCTGTGATTGTCATGCGCGTTTAAAAAACTTTCTTAATTCTTATTTATACTTTTAATTAACATTAAAAACTTAACCATATTGACTGAGGTTTGAGGGGAATCAGCAATTTATTTATTGTTTATATTTGGAGACTAAATAGGAAAAAATAAAAATAATTGAAGATTCTGTAGTGACATCTCGTGGTGGTTGTACTAATTTTTTGTTATTGTGACTTGATTAGATGTATTTAATATTTCGCTACTTGATCATAGACGTCTCTGTATCAATTCTATATTCAATTTCATTTTTATTATATTTATATTATCTTTAAATATTTCAACCAAGTGTTTTCTTTGTATGTATAAGAACTTTTTACTATGTATTTATTTTTTATTATTTATTTTTATTTTTTATTATTTATATTATTTATTTTTTACTTGTATTAAATATAAAAAATCAATCAGTTACGTAACTAAACAGAAAATTATAAATAGTGTATTGTTTATTGTAGTTTTGAAATTAAAGGAAAATAAGTTTAAATAAAAGTAAAAGCGAGAAAAAAACAATTACTGGACATTCAGCAGCAAAATACTTTTATGAGTTTTAGTTAATATATACGACTAACATTATAAAAGTATCTTTTAATTAATGTTCTAACAGTTATTTAGTGTATTTCATCTTAAGGCTTTAAAATTAATAATATTGGATTATATATTGTAATTGGGCATATAATTATTATTATTTAATTAGTAAGTCTATATCAATAGGGATCCTTACTTGCTATTTACGCTTCAAATGAAACTTAAATAAAAAATATTATGAGACAAAAGACAATCTATGGCTATTTTTAATTTTTATCTCATGCCAATTCATGTTAGGCATCTCAAGATAAAGTCTTTGACTTCTCCATATTCTAAGCCTGTTTCCAAGTACATATATATAATCTAGAAGTAACTCCGGTACAATTTTATCGTTAAGATTAACGACAGCGTTAAGGTGAAGTCGTTACTTATATAACGATAAGAGATATCTTTTTGAGTACTTTGATACGGTAACGATAATTATATAAGTGCGCATTATTTTACCAATGAACTTAATACACTCGACGTGGCGACCATGAAAAATTTTATTAATCAATATTCAACCGTGAAATATAATTCTTTGTTGCAAAAAGGAATTAAAACTGATTGAGGATTTTTAGGCTTGGGTTATTCACAAGAATTGTAGGAAAATAACCAATTTTATATATAAAACAAAAGTTAAGAGCATTGATAATTTTAAGGCAAGAGGAAAAAAGGAACTTAGATTGTATCAAAAACAAGAAATGAATATAATTTGTACAACAAAGCAATTATTGTATAGACGCTAATTTCACGTCCCTAAATTTTAATTCTATAATATATATGTGTGATCAAATTGAGTTAATAAGTTATTGTAAGTTGCAGCATTAAAAAATCTTATGAGAAAAGCGTACTAGCCAAGAATATTTATAAATTTTTCCACAACTTATCTATCAGTTTTGCAGGAACTGTCCACTTGTTTCTTTGAAGATCTCATTAGACCTTGAAGTGCAGATTAATTTAGATGAACACTCAATTGTTCAGAGATAAGATTGATGTCGAAAGATAAAATCATTTGACTGACGTCCATTATATTGTAATTATAATTTATTCACGAAATAAGTAACTTTTCTAAAAAAAAATCTTAAAATAATTCACTA